TTAATTGACTTCTATATCTTTTAAATCGTAATAGATAGACAAAATCTGCTGACTGACTAATGACCGCTTTAATAAATGAAATCCAATTCAAAACCACTATCAACATTCAGAACACCTGTACAATGTGTTCAATTATGTAATAAGATAAATAATATAGGTATTAATGTATTCAGGATTTTTGATTAGCTATAAATAGAACGAAAAATCCTTTTTTCGCACAATATATATAACGTATATTATAGCCGTTTCCATTTTTACGTCGTAAAGCAACAAGTAAATATATTACTATTAAACAGGTAAATATTCTGAGGTTTTTATGTCACTTTAATCGGCACGTTGAATAACCAAGGGGTTCCATCAACAAAAAGACAGTACAAAAGTACTCGGTACTTCCATGTTTTGAAGGTTCCATTTTAATGGTAAATTTGTAGTTTATTGATTAACTAAAGGCAACAACATTTAAATTGCAACACTATTCAATTTTGGCAAAGTTGACCGTGTTTGGTTTGTCTGCTCTTCTTCATTTCAAAGACAAACAATGTTTTATTTTTGTTAATGTTTTTGTCATTTTTTTTTATTGTTTTTGATTTTGAAGTGTTTGTCGTCGTTTTTCCTTAAGGGATACATAGGTAGTTTGTTCTTGTTTGATAATTGTGTAGTGTAAAAGTTCAAAGCACTTGAGAAAAAAAAAGCTTCTTTACTAAAACAATTCCAATATTTTCAACCTATTTTGGGTGGTAATCTAGATTGTATTCAGCGAACTTAGATTGCTCGGATGAATTTTTCAAAATGCAAAATATGTATTTTACAAGGAAAAAGGAAACGGTCAATTGCATCTTCGAATTTTTACAGGTAAGTTTTAACTTTAAATACCCGTTCTTTTGATTTGGCTCTTTGCGACTCGCTAAAAGTGCATATGATCTTTTTCGCCGCGAAATTTTGCTAACGTTTTTCACGAGAATTTTGTAGTCAACTCAACTGTTTCGCTTTTGCGCATATAAAGACAAAGTTTGAAGATTTAATTCATCACAACGTTAAAACGCTGCCATGCCAAGGTAGAACCCTTCTATTCGAAATATTGTCATCGGCCGTCTTCAGGCCGGAGTGTCCCAAAGTGTAGTAGCAAGAACTGAAAATGTTAACCAGAGCACAATTTCGCAATTTTGGAACATATACCAGCAGACTGGCTGTACTAAGGACCGCCCGAGGAGTGGACGACCTCGCCTAACGACTCCTGGACTAGATAGCTACATCCGGGTATTTTATCTACGGATTTGAACGATTGTCGCAACAGCCACTGTAGTTGGGATACCAGGATTGAGAAGAATCAGCTCACAAACAGTTTGCAATCGACTGCGACATAATGGCATTAGACACAGGAGGCCGTGATTTGTACCCATTTTGAGGCCGTTACACAGACCGAATAGAGTCTGGTGGGGAATCAGATTGAGGACTGGACATTCCGCAACATCCGCAGAATCTTGTACAGTGATGATTCCCGTGTTATGCTTGCTTCAGAAACGTGATGGAAGAACTCGTGTCTACCAGCGCATGAATAAACGTTTTGCTTTTTCGTATGTTCAAGGAGTGGACAAAGAAGAGGACAGCCTCAGTGGAGGAAGTGTCATGATGTGGGCGGCTATCTCCAATGACCGTAAATAAAGGCAACAGTAGTATACCGCGGTTCAATAGTCATAATTCAATTAACCAAAAACAAATCCGCGTAACAAACTAAAACCAAGGGAAACACATCAACTATAAGAGGAAAACAATGGAACAACAGAAACACTGAACTACAACAAAAACAAACGCCAACATACATATTAACGGACTGTAGATAACAACTGCCATATTTCTGACTTGATACAGGTCATTTTAGACAAAATGGTGGGTTGAACCTGGTTTTATGGCTAGCCAAACCTCCTGCTTATATGGCAATGTTAAAAATACCGCTAAAATGACAACACTACGTTACAGGAATACAGTACAAACAAACGCAAGAACGTAAAACGGAATTGGTACATATTATGGGTAATTTTAACGGCTCAAAGGTATAGAGACGAAATTCTTCAACCTCACCTTATGCATGTTATTGACCGACAGAGGGAGCTATTCCAGCAGGACAATGTTCGGCCTCACAATGGATTATCTTGAGCAGAATAACACCAATGTGCTACATTGGCCTTCCAAATCACCGGACTTGAATCTTATTGATCATCTATGGGACTAACTGAATACACTTGTGCGCAAGCGTCAACCCCCACCTAAGACCGTTGATCAGCTCCGACAAATGTTGCAACAGGAATGGCGAGCAATTCCACGCAACAACAACATTAGAACATTGATAGCATCCATGACGAGGTGATGCGTAGCAGTCTGAGCAGCAAAAGGTGTTCATACAAGATACTAACTTTAATGGCAACGGAAATAATTCTAACTGTGATAGATTTACTTTTATTCATCAATCTCGAAGGAATTTACAGTCTTCTTCTCAATTAAACACGTTTTGAGTGAATATCTTTATTAGTAATTGTAAAATTTCTATTCAAAATACATGTATTAAAATTCGTAAAAAAATATTATGTGTTTCTTTTTTTGCAGAGTATATACAACGGAGACTCGATATACTTTCAAAAGATTTACTTTCCTCTTCTTTTTTGTTTTTTTTTTTTTTGGGGGGGGGGGGGGGAGGGGGCGGGGGTTACAATTGTTTCATCAAATGCACCACATTTCAACAAAGGATGTTCAAGAAACACCAGATTATTCAACTCGCGTTTCAAAATTTTATAGCTAACAAAATTCTCAAGATTAAGCTGTTTTTACTTTAGAAAAATCTGATGCGGTAGATGAAGTTGCATGCCTAACAATTCTTGTTAAATGTAATACTCCAGGGACTATGTATCTATACATTTGTTAGAATTTGACTCTGACGATGCAGTGAATAATTAAAAAAATAAATAAGTAATTCTTTGAAAAAAAAGCATAACGTGAACCCAAGACCTCTGACAGTCACAAAAAATGCTGATTTGTTGATATGCTTTTGGTTTGAAATAAATGTCTGTGATTAGGAAACTATCGATATTATAACATCGTTATTGAACGTTTTGAATTGTTTACATTTTTAAAGTCGTTAAAATGTTTAGATTCTTGCAAAAGTAAAAGAATTCTGAATTTAGTTATATAAATATAAAAGTGTGAACAGCTACATCTGAATTAGACCTTTTAAGGCTTGATTATTTAACCCAATTTATCACTTAAGTGTTCATCGTTTTCCCTTCGCCTAGTATATATACAAAAATTAAATTCTATAGCAATTTCCAGTTTCTGCAAAAGTGATGTCCAAAGAAATATAATTAACATGCACATTTGAAAGAACAATCGCAGAATTACTGAATAGAAACACTCAATTTGCTTAATACTCTGGACGTATTTGAAAAAAAAATCATACCTTCATATTTTGTTTTCTAGATGCCTTCAATATTTATTCCTTGGGGAATATGAGATATCAGGACAGTATTATTGTCTGTACAAATCACAATGTGAACTTATCTTAAAAAAGGACAAGTAAGAGCTTGACATGTGACTTTAAGGCATGGACATCTTTAATGTTTTAAACCTTTCTTTTTGTTGTTGTTGTGTTACTGTCCTATTGACCTTTACTTTTACAATATATTCTTTAAAACTAAGTCTTTCCTATAGAATATTTTGATTGATTTAAGTTACATTAGAAAAACATTAGATTTGAGATTTGTTATGAGACCAAAATAATTATCCGTGTGTAAAAGGTTCTATTGAAGCTGGTGTGTTACTTATTCTCAGGAACAACAAACGAATAAAATTGAGAATGGAAATTGGGAATGTGTCAAAGAGACAACAACCCGACCATAGAGCAGACAACAACTGAAGGCCACCAATGGGTCTTCAATGTAGCGAGAAACTCTCGCACCCGGAGGCGTCCTTCAGCTGACCCCTAAACAAATAAGTATACTAGTTCAGTGATAATGGACGTCATACTAAACTCCAAATTATACACAGGAAACTACAATTAAAAATGATACAAGACTTACAAAGGCCAGAGGCTCCTGACTTGGGACAGGCGCAAAATTGCGGCGGGGTTAAACATGTTTGATGCGATCTCAACCCTTCCCCTATACCTCTAGCCAATGTAGAAAAAAAACAAACGCACAACAGTACGCACAGTAAAACTCAGTATAAGAGAAGTCCGAGACTGATGTCAGAATAGGAAACAAAAGAAAATAAACAAAATGACAATAATACATAAATAACAACAGACTACTAGCAGTTACTGACATGCCAGCTCCAGACCTCAATTAAACTGATTGAAAGATTATGTCTTCATCATATGAATATCAGGCACAATCCCTCCTGTTAGGGGTTTAGTATTATACCGTCATAAAATATATGAGAAGAACATAACCCGTGTCATGCCAACAACTGGTTTTAGAATAAATGTGTTAATTCCGATGCAAAGACCCTATAAGTGAATCAATATTAAAGCCAAAATATGCAATCTTTAATGACCTGACAACAGTATCGTAACTATATCCCTTCTTATTAAGTCTATTTAAAGGTTTTGTTAGCTTTTGAGGTGAATACGGAAATTTTTGTGCTTTGTAAAGAATATTACCATAAAAGATTGGATGTGAAATACGAAACCTTTTTTATTAGCTGCATCACGCATAGTTAAACCTGCCAAGAAAATTTGATTTTAAATTTTATGAAACCAACTCTACAATTAGTATTAAGTTAATTTTATACCATTAACTTTTAAAACTTAATGAATTTAATTATTGTGAGGTGCATAGTTATTTAGTGAGAGAACATCATCTATATAGCGGAAAGTAAAGTTAAAGGATACCGCTAACTTATTTTCTTTCTTCCTAAGAAGTTCCTGTATGAATTCAGCCTCATGTGAATAAAGGAACAAGTCGGCAAGAAAAGGAGCACAGCTGGTTCCAATGGAAATGCCGATTGTTTGTTGAAAAAAACGTCCTCCAAACATAGCATATATGTTGTCAATCAAGAAATCAAGCATTATAAATTATACCGTGAGTTTTCTTTTTTGAATTGTTTGACGTTTTACATGTTGGAGACTTGAAATATCTTACAATACGGTATTTGTTTTTCTCACTGTTGAAGGCCATACCGTGACATATAATTGCTTATATCTTCTTCATTTGAACTCTGGTTGATAGTTGTCTCAATGATAATCATACCACAGCTCCTTATTTTTTTAATGTTTTCAAATGTACAACTACCCCTTTTCTATTTCTTTGCATGACAAGGATTTTCTGAGAATGATTTTGCACTCCGCAACCACCTTTGACATGTAATTTACATCTATTTAAAAAAAAATATCGATAAATCAAGACATGAATAATGAATCGAGGGGATAAGAATTTTTTTTTTTCATTACTTTTGAAATATTTTTTTCAATATAGGACGTTGTGCATTTCGAATAGTGCCAACAAAACCGTTATTTTTATAGTTCAAAATCGTCTGACAGTCTGTAATTATAGTACGTTTGTCAAAATATTTTACCTGGTGTTCTACATTTGGTTAACAGAGCAGAGAAAAATAACCTATATTAAAGAATAGAATAACAATGGGATGCTTTAATATAAAGAATAGAGGATAATTGGCCAACAAGAAAAAAATATTTTTGAAATTTAAGAATACAGAAATAAATATACGCATCCTGACCATCTTGCATGCACTTTGCATAGTCTTGATCTGTTGGACAGCTGGACAGAACGATTGCAAAAAAGTGTTAAGTAAACAAATGGATACAAGTTATTTGCATTCCTCAATATATGTGTAAACCTACGTAGATGTATTGTGTATTCAAAATTAAAAAGGATGCATTTTAATGTTTTAATTTATCTGTTTCTTCCTTTTGAATGTGTGTAGTAATTGGTCAGTTGTTAGTACTTATAGACTGTTGCTTGTCTCTTCGTCGGATTTCTTTTCTTCGTCGGATTCTAAAATTTCCTTTGATTTTATTAATTCCCCCCCTTTTGGTGTCTTTTTCTTTTTTTATCAATCGGTCGTGAATATATTAAAGTACCACTAATGAGCAAGCTCACAAACGCAACACTCATCAGATAATTGGGAAAAGCTCATAGCTATGTTTTTTTGTTTACTTGAAGGTATAATTATTTTCTGTTATGATTTCACACATTTATATCGATTTACAAAAAAATATTTTAGTAAATTTGACCGTGACATTTGACCTAGTGACATCAAAATTAGTAGAGATATTCTTCTCATCATATGTACCGATCAAAGAAAGGTTGCAATTCAATATGAAGTCTTTGATTAGGCATCTAGAAACCACTCTTCAGTACAAATTTCGGTCAATTGTTAGTAACTTCGACTTCGACCTTAACCTTTGACATGTAAATCCAAGAGCAGCAAGGATTTTCTTCTCAGTATATGTGAATATACATTCAATTATAGTTGAAATCAGATATAAAGTATTAATTTGAGATTGCTTCCAAAAATCTCATCTCGGCTGATGTTGTTTGCAAGCCAGTAACCTCTATCAATGTCTTTTCTTCTGAAGCCCCGTTAGGTGACCGCCAAGTTCTTGTACCCCTTTTTCACAGTATCGTCAGAGGAGGAAATCCGCTTCATTCTAATGATCTGGCTGTAGAAGTGCTCATGGTGCAATGTTTTTTGGATGACAATTTTAGAGAGAAATACATGGATGGTTATCTGTGGGCTTGCAATTATGGAACGCCACAGCCGTCTTATGTGGTACTCTGATATTACGTTATGTTGTTTTATTATTACTTGATGATATTTTGTCTTTACATAATATGGTTTTGACATTACGTAATGATGTTATGATATAACTCAATATGGAATAGTCATTACTTAATGATATTTCGATATTACATGATATGGTTTCGTATTGACTTGATATATAGTTTTGTCATTACTTAATATGGTTTTGTCATTACTCGATGTGGTTTCACAATTATTTAATGTGGTTGTGTCATTAGGCAATGTGGTTTAACCATTACTTGATGTGTATGTGGCTTAACGTAATGTAGTTGTTTCAATACATGGTGTGGTTATGTTAGTTCGTAATGATGATTTGCCAATTCTTTATATGGCTTTAACATTACATAATGATGATTCAAAATTTGACGATTTCACACTACATGATGTGTTTGTTCTAGTAATTGATGTGGTTCTGTCATTCTTTGATGTTGTTATCACATTACTTGATGAGGTAAAACCACGTGATCATTTGGGAAAAGCTAGTTCTATTTTTAAACCGATTTCCATATGTTTAATGTGCTTCGGATGAGTGTCGCTATCCATTGAGTTAAAGTTCAAATTAAAGTTCGATTTGTTGTTCTGAGTTATTTGGTATGAAAAAAGGGAACGGCTGACAAAAATAAGATAAAAAGTATTAAAAAAATAACAATATTTCGGACATAAGGGGGATATCCTCACACCACTTGGTCCGGCCGTTTTTTTTTATCCTGAGTTCTCAAATGGAAGCAGTATTATAATTAATTCGTGAAGATTTCCACGGAACCCCTGTCTCGCTTTAGATTGCTGCTGTCTGTTTAAAAGTGTAATGTTGACTGTAACAAGTCCATTTACCTGTAAAGATTTGTTTTTCTGTAGATGCGTTATCTTGATCTTGAAGATTAACTCCTATACATTTTTTTATAATAATTCATAGAGGTTTACAAATTTATCATGACAAAACAATTATATAAAATAAGAATTCTCCGATTTTGTTTAGCGTGTATGATCATTTGAACATATTCAAATATCAATATTTTATTTTTATAAATTGCATTCTCTGATATACCTCGCCCTCATTGAAAAAAAAAACCAACTTTTTGGAATATCTGTTTCACAGGTGACGACAGATATGTTCCAATTGTAGTGATCACAATCCCGTCCTCTTTTTCTCGAATGTGACCTACCGAATTAGATCAAATCACTCGGTTTGTACTTTAACGAATAACACGACGGGTGCCACACATTGAGCAGGATCTGCTTACCCTTCCGGAGCTCCCAAGACCACCACCGGATTTTGATGGACTTATACTGCCAGTCATACCGATCTATCGAGTTAAGCCAATTGCAACTGATATGTACAGTTTTTTCTTATGTTGTGCTGTTACACTATTGTCCCAGGTTAGGGTTAGGGCTGAGCGCTCACAGACATGTTTAACTCCGCCACATTCTTTATGTGCCTGTTCTGAGTCAGGAGACTGTAGTTTAATGGTAGTCGTTGGTTCATGTTTGTCATATTTTTTTTTTTGTAAATTGTTTTATTATAAATTCGGCCGTTAATTTTCTCGTTTGAATTGTTTTCACATCTTCACGTGGTGGCCTTTTATAGCCGACTATACGGTGTATTGAAGGCCGTACGGTTGCCTATACTTGCTAACATATACTGCATTTAAACTCTGATGGATAGTTGTCTTATTGACAACCATACCGCATCTTCTAACTTTATTTAGATTTCTATGTTGTGTTTTGTATACTGTAACATTGTTTATCTTTTGTGCGCATACCCTAAACCCTCTTTTTCGGAAGCCCGAGTAAAACCCCTCGATCGATCATCGATAGAAAATTTAAATACGAACTAATATTTAGTTCGTATTTCAACTCGAAATTTAAATCTAAATGAGACTCAAATTCGAAGTCTAACTCGAACTCTACCTCAAAAGGTGACTCAAATTCAAAGTTAAAGTCGAATTGTAACTCGAACTCTGCCTTCAAATGTGACTCAAAATCGACGTTCAACACGAAACTCAATGCTAACTCGAACTTTAATTCTAATTATGCCTTGAATTCTAACTCGAAATCGAAGACTAACTCGAAGTTTAACTCGAAAGGTATCCCTAACTTTAATTTTAACTCTTACCTGGATGGATGGCCACACTCAACCATGGAAATTTGTTCTAATAATAAAACTAGTTTTTCCCAAATGGTCACGTGGTTTTACCTCATCAAGAATGACTGAACCACATCAATTACTGGAACGAACACATCATGTAGTGTGAAATCGTCAAATTTTGAATCATCATTATGTAATGTTAAAGCCATATAAAGAATTGGCAAATCATCATGATTACAAAATAACAAAACCACATCATGTAATGAAACAACTACATTACGTTAAGCCACATACACATCATACCTTGTATAGAGTACATTGTATATATAGCCTTTGAGTCATTCTGTACAATGAAAATCAAATTAAGTCACAGCTTAATTTGGTTCAGTAATTTGTCAAATGATCAAAAAACATAAGAAGATTGTTTATTTAATGAATTTGCCTTCAGTTATCACATATATGAACAATTATAAATAGAAAAAAGATGACAAATTGAAAAAAGATAATTTCAAAACTTGCAATAACTTGCATGTTCTCTTCAACCAAGTCTTAATAAAATCAAACCTCTCAGCGTTCCCGTTTTCTGAGTCCACGCGCGACATATAAATAAACGATAGCAAGTGAGAGGTCTGATTTCAATTGGACTGCGTGCAACCTTACAACACAAGTTCTGACACGCTACTTTTGATTTTGTCCAATGATCTCGCCTGGCAACTAACATAATAACAACAAGTCTGAGAATACAACATAAGGGGTAAATTGCAAGTATTTTCTTATATCTTAAAAACCGTCATAGATACATATAGCTGGCAGGCGCAAAAATCAAAATCTAAATGTCAAGATCTATCAGCTGTCAGCTGTTTGACGATTCCTTATGAATTTATTGCCCTCAAAGGGTGACTTTCACCATTTTTGTGTTGCTACTATCTTCAAAACATGTTATAGAGTTTGCAAATGGCTAAATTGTCACCAGAACTAGGTAAAAATAATAAGTCAACATGGCCGAGATCGTCACACGACTGCTTATATCAGTAAATGTTATTTGAGGACGATTTTACAATGTTTGTGTTTTTGCAGAAACTATAGTAGATAGAATAAAACTGTAGATTACAAAAATCACCAGTAAGATAAGATTAAGAATGAAGTTCGAATTAATGACCGAAATCGCCCACC